TGGAACATTTACTTTGAAAGGTTTTGAAGCTGTGTCATAGGCTCTTCCAGAAATCAAAATAAAATCTCTCTGGAAAACCCCTTAGTAATATCATGGATCACATCCACTTTTATGAGTTTCACAGGAGCAGACACAAATGGGAGATGGCCTATCTTGTAGGAGAATTTGGCAGTAGAATATTGTTGTGACTCAACTCAGGGCAGGTAAAGTTACAGCTGTCTCTCTATGGAAAAGTCATCACCACACCAGTGAAAACTAGGCTCACTTCCCGACAGGTCATTGCTACTGCTACCAAGCAAGCTTTTCCAAGGACCCAAGGTGCTGCAGAGAATTGGAAGAGAGGAGTTCCACTCTGTGCACTATTTACAGGATGTGCCTGACTGGAAGGATATTATACTGGACCTCAGAGGAATGTGGCAAGGGATAACATAATAGATCCTCCATCTGCTCTCTCTCCAGTAGACTGCAAATTCCTGACCACAAGGTCTTGGTCCTATTCTTTGTTGGGTCCCCAGTCCCCAGCACTTTACAATCCACATCCCATCAACATTCAGTAGAATAGCTGAATAAATGAAGTCCCCAGCAATGTTTCTCACATAGTGACAGCTCACCATGTCTGCCATGAAACGGGACTGGCTTTTGGGAGGAGAGGGGTAGAAAAATCGGAACATTCTCAAAGAGATAAAACAATTTACATCTTTGTAAAATGGTGGTCACCATCTCTGTATGTCTGCTTGGCCTTCTGTGAAATGGGACTGGGGAATGGCCTGCTCCCTTAGCACCCAGACAGTGCTCGGGATCACTGTACGACAGGTCAAGAGGGAAGAATGGGTAGCAGCTAAAGGATTCATTCACAATATCCCTTTCCCTCTCTGCTGAGTGACAGAAGGTCTTGGGCGATCTTGCCAGGCTATTTCACCTGCTTAGACTTTAACCCTGGAGGACAGTGACCATATTTTACCCCCAGAACCAAGCATAATGCCTGATATCAACAGAGAGTGCTCAGGAAATAACCATCAAATGCCCATGCTCTTGATTCTTTCTTGCCAAGCGAAAGGAATGAAAAGTGGGAAATGTTTAAGGATGATTTTGGTAGCCAGGAAGCTGGCAGAATGAGTACAGATTATATATAATTAGAGATCAGAGAGTTCAGGGTAGAGTTATAGGAGTAGCAGGGAATACTGAGTAAGGAGACATCGAGTAGGTGGAGATGGTGAGATGACAAAGGGCTAGAAAGGGAACCAACAACCATGAGTGATGATCTTACTTGGATGAGTGACAGATCTTGGTATACAAATATAGAACGATGGAGAGCAAGAGATTAGGTCTTCATACCCCATACTAGCTTCATTATTGACACCCTGGACCAAGCATCATGGCAAGAAATAATTTAATAATCAGGATTAGGGCCGGGGATTTAGCTCAGCGGTTCGGTGGGCTGCCTTGCAAGCGCAAGCGCAAGGACCCAAGTTCAATCCCCAGTACCAAAAAAAAAAAAAAAAAAAAAAAAAAAAAAAAAAAAAAAAAAAAAAAAAAAAAAAAAAAAAAAAAAAAAAAAAAAAAATCAGGATTATCAGCTCAGGTAATTCGTGTCTACGTATGTCTTTAGTATCTCCGATGTAAATTTTATATATTTATATTTCTCCTTAAAAAAGAGCTAAGTCATGAGTACAAAATGTCATCCTGACTTTCAGGCATCTGTTAGGAGCCAGAGACTTTCTTATCCGGACTTGCTAGTGCTTCCGTCCCCTCACTCCTATTCTGTTCCATACCCCGTCGTTGTCCATCCGCAGCCACCATCAGCATTTTCCACACTGTCCTGATGACCTGCCAAGCAGCACCCCAGTCCTACTGCAGCCAGGGAGAAGGGCAGCAGCTGTGGGCAGGGTTTGATCACTCTTACCAAGGGCGTCTGTGTGCCCCGGGGTCGGGCCTTGTGCTGTGCCGTTCCATTTTGAGCAAACCAGGAGGAGGGGACTGCTTTTCTGACCATCAGAGGTGCCCCTCTCGGAAAATGTGTTCCAGGGTCCATATCAACCATAAAACCTGGCTTTTGGAGCCCAGTCTGTTCAGAGCTCAGTTCTGCTTCCTGTGATGTTACAATCCACGAGCCTTCGCTTCATTCGCTTTAGTGGAATGAATCACAGATCCAGACATATTTTATTCCTAAGGGGAGAAATCATAGCTTATGTCTGTCCAGGTCTTCCCTGTCAGATGCAGTAGTTCATGCTAAAAGAAACAAACATAGAAAGTAAAATTTTCTATGTTCTTACCACTTCCAGATAGACTTCTATTTTCCTAATATTTTGTTCTAAGAGTAGTGTGGAAAGCTTCCCTTTTTGCTATTCTACATAACCATCTTGGGCCAACAATGTTAACAGGGCAGCTGCAAGCATAACGGGATATCTCAGTTTGGAAAAGAGTTCCTCTACAGACTCTGGCTTCCCAATTTGGTAAAACTCGAGCCTCAATGTGCTCCATCCTGACTGACTCTTGATTAGCTCTGGCCTCATGTCCTGCGTGATGTGGGATCCACAGAACATTAGCGTGGACATGGAAGGAATGTCCTTGGATGTGCACGACTCTTAGAATGCAACTTCCCAGGTTCCCTCACTGTCATCTTCCCTCTGAGGGGCTGGTTTCCTTGCAGGAAGCTGTGCTTTTAAATATCACAAGTAATGCGTGGTAAACTGAGGACATGCAGGCCAATGTTGAACCACTCACATTACTACAATCTAGTGGCATCCAGAAGCCCCCCTAAAACCACAAATCTTCATCACAGCGAGCTCTCTGTGTTTATGACGGCAAGCCTCCAAAATGGGGTTGTTTGGCAAAAACAGGAGTGTTTTTAGCAACAAAATCCAAGACAATGGTAAGCTACAATGTGAAACGAGCATGGTGCGGGCCAATTAAGTGAGCATCTGTTACATCTGGCCTCAGCTACTCACTCCCGACCTTGATTGTCTTCATATGGGAAGCAAAGCAATCACCCAGGTTGTGTGTGTGTTATGTTTTACCTTTTCTTCCCTCATAAGGTAGAGCTTCATATTTATTTGCAAATATTCTCCTGATAGTTGAAGCCCTCTGGATAATTAACATTTTTTGTTGTTGTTGTTGTTGTTTTAGTTTTGCGATGAAATTTGTTTTTAAACAATCCACTTAAACATTTAAGGTTTATATGTCTAAAATATAGCAAATTATTCATATCAGATGGAAGGATTTGGGATGAAAGTCAGAGAAATCCCAACGCAAAGTGACTTACACAATACAGAGCATGTATGAGTCACATAACAGAAATGTCCAGAAGTGAACGAGGCAGCCGTTAGGCACCATTTGGTTAGAGTTCTCGCTCCACTGATCTGCATTTGCTTCCCTCCTGCCCTCTTCTCTCACAGCTGTTGGCAGCATTTTGGTCATCTATTTCCTCTTTCCCAGCCAGGAGGAGAGATCCTCGCCTCCCACTGTCCCCAGCTGTGTGGCTTTTTTAACTTCAATCAGTCACTATGGCTACTTGACTACCAGGCACTGATTGGCTTATGCCTGCGGGGGGGACTGACCCTGTCTCTACCAATCACAGTGGGCAGAAGTATGGCGCATGTTGTTTGACGTCTGCCAATCAAATCCTACTCAGACTTGACAGCCAGTGTGTCTCACCTGACAGCATTCTCCGGATGCGGAGAATTTTAATGAGGAGACGTTACAGCATATGATTTTTTGCTTTTTAATTGAATTTATTGGTACATTTTAGGGATACAGTACAGTTACATTCATTGTTAGGATCTTGTACCTCTACATGACAGGTCTTGGTTCTCATTTTTTCCCCTTCTCCCTGCCCTCCCTTCACCGCTCCTCCCCTCCCCATTTACAAACACTTTATTTCCATCTTTTCATTTTCTCACCTTTTTTCTTTTCCCTTATTACCCTTCCCCTACCCATCCCACCTCCCCTACACCTTTAGACCTTTTCTTCCCATTTCACAATGTCAGTTATCTCATTAGGATCTTATGTACTATTACAGTTTATTCACACCAGAGAAATTATTCAGTATTTACACTTGTGTGACTTATTTATTTCACTTAGGAGTATATATCCTCAATATGTATCCATTTCCCTATGAATGAATCTAATTTCTCGTTCTTTATGGATAAGTAATATTCCATTTTATAGAAAAACCACATCTTCTTTATCCAGTTTCCAACTGATGGGCAGATGGGCTGTTTGCAAGTTTTAGCTATTACAAACTGTGCCGCTATAAACATGGGTGTGAGTATATCACTGTGATATGATTCTTTTAGTTCTTTTGGAAAGATACCAGCTGCTCCTCAGACAAAGGACTATTATCTAGAATATATGATTTTCTTTAAAGGGAAAAGAGAGATAGAAGAATGGTATTTCTCTATCTCAAAGAGCAACCTTATCAATGTTATGGGAGTTAGAAATCTGAGGGTCATGGAATGCAAGGGCTGGGATTCACACAGTTACCAGAATCACTTAGTCTCGACGCACTGCACCCACTGTCAGTCTCTGTGTCTGTCCGTGAGGATAACAGTGGGCTGAGGTAAATCTCTCACACCAACAGAGTCTGTAGATGGTTGCTCCCCAGCCCTCAGAATGTGACCAGGGCCGTCACCTGCCTCACCTCCTGCGGTCATCTCGGTGCTGGGGACAGAAGAGCTGGCCAGTAAACGCTTGCAGGAAGAATGAATGAATGGATCACCTTTCCTCCGTCTCTGACTCTCACACGGAAGGACAGAAGAGGAAAGAGTTAAGGAACGCGGAGGGTCCGCACAGCTGGAGTGAGTTGTCGGTGGAAAGCCAGCAGGACAGTGCCGGAGGAAGGGGGTTTGGCATAGTCAGTCTCCGCTGAGCGCTGCTGGGGCAGTGCAGCTGGCAGCATCTAGAAATGAAGAGGCAGGAGCATCTGCTGAGTCCCACGGCATGGGCACTTGCCTTTTTGCTTTTGGGTTTTGTTTTTAGAGCCTGAGATGACAAGGACCGAGATGGACCCTATGGTTCGGTAACATCTTAAAACAAAAAAATCTGGGAGTTTCTCCGGAGAGAGAGAGAAGGAGAGGTTTCAGAAGGCAAAGACAATAGAGGATGGAACCCAAAACATGTAAAGGCAAATACGGGTTTTCAGGGATCTTCAGAGATTCTCTACAAAGGAACAGACAGATCACTAAAGGGGAGAGCGGCAAATCTGTAGTTTCAAACTATGGGACTGTGATGTGCCCCTATCTGCCCAGACACGCATGCCTCCCCAAGACTCCCTCATACCTGGGCTTTCTGAGAACACAGGCAGAATGTTCACTTCGAGAACATGGTCGTACACTCCTGTACTCCAAGCCATCTGGGAGGCTGAGGCAGGAGGGTTATAAATTCAAGCCCAGCCTTGGCAACTTAGTAATTGAGCAAGACCCCATCTCAAAATAAAAGATAAATAAAGGGCTAATGATGTAGGTCAGTGTGAAGACCCTAGGTTCAATCTTCAGTCCCACAAAAAGCAAAACAAAGACAAAAAACAGTTCCCAAGATAAACAGTAAATATTCTTTTTGGAGTAATCAGAGAAACAATATAAAAGAAAACTTGTACGTGAGATATAACAAATACTGAACACTATTTTTCATTTCTGCTTTAAATATTTCACTTTAAGGTAGCAGATTAGTTACAGTTACAGAATTAACTGGTGAACTTGGAGACATACAAAGAAAATATTGAGATAAATCACACAGAATTAAAAGTATAAAAATAAAATAAAAATCTAGGTTTTTTTATGAGAAGTGAGATATGAATTGGAGTCTCAAAAGATGGTAGAGATATATGACAGAAGCAATATATGAAACTCTATAGTCTGATAAAATCTTTTCTAAACTGTGAAAGATAATTAACACATAGATTCAAGAAGCTCTTTACCTCAAGGAGTGTAAGTAAAAGGAAAATTACAACTATGCACATCATATTAAAGCCATTATATGCCCAAGACAAAGGGAAATTTTAAAAGTGAAGAGTTTTGAAAAAATGGCACGTTACCTTTAAATAAGCAACAATTCAGAGGATAGCTGATTTCTCAACAGACAAAAATTAAGAGTAGAAGCCACTGCATGATGTCTTCAAAGTGGCAGAAATAAACAAATGAACAAATAATTTAAAAATAAATTGTCACATTCTATACAGACTGAAAATATGCTCCAAGGATGAAAGTGAAATAAAACCATTTTCAGACAAACCAAAACCATGAGAGTTTTTCATTAATGAACCTCACTAAAATACTCTAGTGATTATTCTTCAGACAGAGGGTAACTGACCATAAATGATACTCAGAAATTCAGGAAAGAGTGAAGAGCAATAGAAGGGTTAAATATGTGGAAATACATGAATAAACATCATTTTTATAAGGAAATCATGGTCATCTGTGGTATTAAATTTTTTTAGAAAATATGATAACAATAGCATATAAGTCAGAAGGGGATAAATGGCATTATAGCTTCCTAAAGTGTCTGAAATTTTCTGGAAAGAGGTAAAAATGTTAATTTACAATAGAACTATGAAAGAAATGCACATTTTTACAAGTGTAATAAAAGTATGAAATTATAAAGAGAGTAGAGGGAAAATGACAATGAAAATACTTCATCAGTTTAAAGCAGACAAGAGTGAAAAAAGAATATGGCATGGTTAGGACAAATTGAAAGCAAGCAGGATGTCAGTAGATTTAAATCCAAATTTATGAATAACTACATTAAATGTAAATTCACCAAATGCTTCAGTTAAAAGACAAAGACTAACAGTCTGAGTAAAACAACAGAATCCATTTGTGTGTAATCCACACTAAAAAGACTGAAGATAAACAGCAGCAACCAACAATATCCTATGCTATAGCAATCACAGGCCTAGGTATATGCTCAACAGTTGCATTTGCATGCAAAAGAGTACACGAGAGACATGCACACAGATGATCATAGCAGTATTGTTCATTTGTAGAAACACAAAAACAAGAACAATCCAAATAACTGTCAATAGGAGAATGGAGAAATACGGCATAATGTGTTTTATACAACAGAATACTATTCACCAATGCAAAATAATGCACCAGTGATAAAATAGTAACTTGGCTGAACCTCAAACATACGTCAAACAAAAGAAGCAGACTGTGTGCTTCCATGTATGTGAAGCTCAAAACAGACAAAGCTGTGCTTTATTAGTGAGGGCAGTGGTTAGCATGGAGAACACACAGGCAGCAGTTGGGAGAAGCACAAAGGGAGATTTGGGGATCTTGGTAGTGTTCTCCCTCTGGACATGGTAGTCACAGGGTATTTAGCTCTATAATAATCCATTATGGATTGCATGTATAATTGGCACCCTTTTTGTGTTTGTTAACCTTCCAATCTTTAAAAAGTTAAAAACAAAACAAAACAAACACTTGATGTCTGTCTCCTCTTGCCAGTCTTTCCTGCACCCAGCCAGAGTGACCATTTCACATTCATCAGACCTGCCCACCTTCACCGTGGTATGCCATCCTCATTCTGACCTTGATATTTTTTCCAATATGGACGACTTTATGTGCATACTCATGACATATTTCCTATTTTTTTCCATTCATATAACTGTCAGATTAATAACCCTACATCATCACTTATCTCTCAAAAAAAACTTAAAATAATCTGGAACCTTCCCTATAACCTGTTGTTGCCAAAACAGTATTAGCTTGACCAAGAGAGCTGAGCATTGTGCTCAAAAGTCCAACAATTTGCAGGCTAAGTTTTAGCAAATGGTGAGTCCTTGGGAAAGGGGAGCAATGTGTGGGAAATTGAAGGCAAAAGACAGCATCATTTCAGAAGCATTCCATAGTCAATTAGGAATCTAAATAGCAGTGATTATTGACACATATTTCTTTTCATATGTTTTTGCTCAGTGAGTCTTCATAATTCCATGAGACATATTTCCAGTATGTGCATTTTACAGATAGGGAAATCGAGTTAGAGAAACAGTATGTAACTTGCTCAGGGTCCCTATAGTCTGAAGCAAAACAGGGCTGTGAACCCAGGATCTGGCTTGAGAAATCCATTCTTTAACTTTGCCTACATCACCTCTCTATCTCTGAAGAGCACTGGTTCCAAAACAGAAAATCACCTGTGGCTAAACTGACAGCAAGACTCAGTGCTGAAGAGAAATGCTAACCGTGGTTAGGGTTCATTTCTCATTTCCCATGAATGAGATGTGAATGCATGAAGGTGTAAGGTTACTAAGTGCTGGATAATAAACAGCAAAACTAACAATAGAAAGAACTGCAATTTAGATTCCTTCTCTCCCTGGGATTACCATCATTTCCCAGATTTGATATAGCAGCATAAATAATGACAAACAGTTTTACAGGAATTCATTCTAACACCTACTTTGAACAAGTTTTTCTGTGAATCAGTGCAAAAATAGACCAAGCTTAATCCATTTGACTCATTTCTTTCTCCTTCCTGTAATTCTACCTGATGTTTTTCTTTTTTTTCTTTATCGGGGGTTTTAGTGCTCATCTGCTGGTTTTAATTTAGCTTGTCATGTTACTATTTTGTGCATGTGCCCAGAGGCCTTTGGGAAAAGGACGCAATTTTTATTAGATTAGAACACAAAAAGCCAGAAAGATAAATTAAAGACAATTAGTCATATTTTAGATAATCTAAGTACTGTAGGAAACCAGAAATTCACTTCCAACTTCAAGTTATTCTTTCAAAGATTACTCACTCTTGAAACTAGCTAAGGCATTCCCTTTGGGGAGAGTAAAATGATCAAGGACATCCTCACAAATAACTTAGGCAGACACTGTCATGGAAAACCACTGGATGCAAAGCAGGAGGCCTTTTTCTGTAAGTTACACAGATGCTCAAGTGCACAGATTCTATAGGAGGTGTATGATTTTCAGGAATGCTAAATGTCTTGGCTTGGTCTGGTGTGCACAGATGAATTCCGCTAAGAGTCTTTTCGAAGTCAGTGAGTCCGGAGAAGCCAAAGCAGATGAAGAGGACTCTAACCATATATCTTTCAAAAAGTCATGTCACAGTCTGTTTCGTTCTTTGTCTTGTCACATGGTTTCCATGTTTCCCTGTTACAAAATGTCTCAGAGTCTTGGCTACCTTACCGCTATCCCCATCATTCTCTAACACCACGGCCTTTCAGTCTCGCTCCTGCCATTTACTCATCATATTCTGATCAGTTTGCTTGCTTTTATGCTGCTTGTATTCTTACTAAATCATTAGTTCCACAAAAGGAAGAATTATAGTCACTCTTCGGTATCTGCAGGGGGTTGATTCCAGGACCTGCATGAGGACCAAAGTCCAGGGATGCTCAAGTTGTCTGTATAAAATGGTGTGCTATTCCCATATAACCAGTGCACATCCTCCTGAATATTTAAAATCCTCTACATCACTTATATGTAATATAATGTGAATGCTCTGCAAATAGTTGTTATACTGTATTGTTGAAACAATAATGACAAGGGGGAGAAAAGTCTGAAAATGTGTAGTACAGAGTCATTTTTCCCCTAGTTTTGCATCTGTGACATTTAGCTGTGGAGGGCTGGCCGGGTGGGTACCTTATCCCCCATGACTGCCACGGTGCCCCAATAGCAACTGGTGCTCAGACTTGCTGAAAGGATTAAAAACAATGAATAAATCCACAAAATCAGGAAGCCAAGTGAGGTTGAGTAGGATTTGCAAAGATGGCAGGGAAATCTAATTTGAAATTTCGTAATCAAATGGGAAAATATTAAGCAGCATTTTAATGGGCGACATCCTCCCCCACCCTTCTGATCCTTCCTTCCTTTTTTCCCCCTCTCTCCTTCCTTCCATTTTTCTTTTTTATTTGATGATTTGCAGAGCTATAACAAGGAAACAAAAATCCAAATAAATGTGGAGATCACCTCAATAGTTGGAAACATTTTAGTGGATAATATTTTAAAAATCCATTTGTGAGGGTCATGTGTGTTTTGGGGAGGCTGAATCATGATTCACCAGGAAGACTTTTCTTATTCATGGAAAAAACCCATCCCTTGCAGAGGATCGCAGACACTAGAGGGCAGTCCTAGACATCCTTGCCGTATTTTCTACAGACTAAACACAGTCCTCTGCTCTCTGGTGTCTACATCAGTGGGGAGAATTCCTTGCTTCCCATCTTAAGGGCCCCTTGTTTCCAGGCACTGGAGTGACACTGCTGTCAACACTAATACATTAAGGAGAATTAGAGACTTTTTTTTAAAAGCTCCTTGAAGACTCTTTTTGCATCGAACTCACTCAAGAGCCCCTTGCACCATCCTATCCCTGCATCCGCGTTGCAGAATTCTGGCATGAAATGACCCTCACTGAAGCCTGCAAATCATTCAGGGTCCCGACTATAGGTTCAACTCTTCCCAGGGTTTGGTTTCTCCTGAAAAATCTTTCCCCAAATATCAGTGGTCAGGGAGAACATGGTTTTCCCCGTCACCTTCCCTTTAGAGGAAGAATTGTTTTACAAGTCTTTATTTTTGTATGAAGCAAGGCTGTTTTTAAAGGCTTGTTCTAAAAAGAGATCAAGTTAGAGTCTGGTTCCGACCAGTGGGAATTTTCCTTCCGCTGGCTGAGCTTGAACTGCTGCCAACAGGGGTGACACTGCTCGATGAAGCACTTTTAACTTAAGAGTGGCTAATAAAATCGTGAAGGAAAAGTATAAAAGACAATGACAAACACAAAAATCATCAAAACAGGAAGAAAAATTATTTGACTATGATGGAGCTCACCCTCCGGAGAGCAGAATAGGAAATGTGCAGACATCATACATGGAAGTCAGCAGAGAATGTGGCGGTCTCAAAGTGGTTTCCCCTCCGTGGGTTTCAATAGCCATTTTCTGCTAATCAGTTCCTTTTAACCTCACAAGAAACCTGAGAAATGTTGGACAAAAGAAAAGTCTGAAGTCCACTGACCAAATTTCAAGAAGAGTTTGGAAGCCTGCTTTCCTTTTCTGGTGCATCTTTCTTTATTTTTGAGTCCATGTTGGCAGTCTATAATGATTATGTTCATTACAGGGAGCTGGCACACATAGGTAACACTCAATTCTTTTTTTATCCCCTTCTTCCCCCTTTCCCCCTTCCCATTTGAAAAAGACCTCCCTCCTTAATTCCTGTCATCTATCTTTTATTCTGTGCTTTATTTATATTTTGAGTTTCTCGTAGAAGAGAAACCATGCAATATTTAAGCTTGTGTGTCTGATTTATTTCATTTAACAATAAGGTGTCTACTAGTGCATCAGGTTTCCTAAAATGACTCATTTATCCTTCCTCAATGCACAGCCACAGATGAATGGATAAAGAAATGGGGTGTCTGTACCCAATCAAGCACACATTGCATTTAGATTGGCTTATTTCATAAATGGCGCCATCAACATATTGAAAGTGTGGTTGTGTTAATGAAATAATCACGTCAGAACTCAGACTTTCTGATTTCGAGGCATCACATTTCATCACATAAGGAAATAGGCTTAAACATAATCAGAAGTGATAGCTGGTCATTCAGTTATGAGTGTCTTTGGTTAGGAAGTACCCACTAACTGGTTAAATGCTACAGCATCTCTATTTTTAAGCACTTTGTACATGGCTACAACTCCAAGATCATTTTTTCCCTCTGGTACTCTTTAATTGTTTATTTTTGGAATGTTTGGGCCAAATCTGTTCCATCTTTGACCTTTGGGCTCTTTCCTTTTTAGGGAAACAACTATGTATACCTTTCTCACTATTCAATGTACACATGCGCTCTCATACACGATAAACAATCCCCAGGCTTGCTTTTCTGACAAATAAATCAGTGCCTGTAGATCTTTAAAATGTCAAACTTCTCATTCAGAGTGAGACCTGTCACTGTCCGAGTGTGTCTTTGACAACACCCCAGATCTTGCTGATTGGCACAGTTCCCATGTGTCAGAATGCTGAAACGTCCAACACACTTATTCAGATGTATTCCTTCCCTGCAGTTATGGAAGGCTTTCTTTTGGCTGGCTTCTTAAAAGATTTACTGCTCTCCCAGGCGTTTGGCCTCCCAGGAAGGTCAAAGAGCTCTGAGTTAGTTTGCTTTCCCTCCACCCTTTCAATACAACGGTGTCACCAAGCTTTTTTTTTCTAAAAGCACACAGCTGTGTTACCGAACCCACAAGCATCACTCATAGACATGCCCACAGGGTCAACCTGAAAGAGCTCACTGCCTCTACAAAGGTGAAGTCTATGCCTTAAAAATTTTGGCAACCAACCCTTTGGAAAATCAGCTTTGGCTGGTTCAAATTCCACCCCTAACTTGCTTTGTGAACATGCGTAGTATGTGCCCCTCCTGAATCCTGATCTGGGTTTTTGTCTGCAAAGTGGAAAGTGATCGTATTGAGAAGATAGGTTTGCGAGAGTCAAGAGCAACTATGTCTTAGGTGAAAGAACAAGACTACATCCGTGTATATGACAATAACTCAATTCTTCCTTACCTACTTGTCTTCAACCAAAAGAATAGAAAAATGAGGACTATGGCAGGGATATAAGCAAGTGGGAGACACACGGGTTGCTCTGTGTATGAGCTACTCTGTGTGAATCAAAGCTTTGTGTACAATGTGGCCAGTTCTGCCCAGAAAGTCAGTTACATGAGTCAGGTGCAATGCAGGATCACCCTATTACTTTCTAACCACTTAGACGTACACATCGACCTAAGGCTTGCCTGCAATGTGACAGATTTCAGCATGCTAGGGTCAGGAAAGGAACAAGTTGAAGTTATTCCTTGACCTCAATGGCCACAACGGCTTTAAACATTCCTGCATGTATGCTACATGTGAATTCCTCATTGAAAAATTTTACTTTGGGAAATATCACTTTTGATTAACACAGAAACTTGACCAGAGTAGCATTCTGTGTCCAACAGAAATGGACTTTCACCACCTACTCTTAACTCCTGATCTGGGAAAGGACGAAACATTTAGGAGATGATCCAGACGTAGCAATCTGCCAGGAATTCTTCTGACAACCGATTTTCATGGAAAAGAGATGAGAAAATCTGGTCTTTCAGTGGGCTCCGAGATGTTTTTCTTCAAGTAGTTTCCCAAATCCTTCCCTCCTGCCATCTCTCCCTCGATCCTTTTTCTTTTCCTTAACAGCTGTGTCCGCCACATCGGGGTCTTCTCTCTGTTAACTCGGTTGGGAACTCTGTCCCCCTGTGCAACTGGGGAAAAGCTGCTTTGCTCTCTTCCAACACACACTCATACGCACGCACCCTCGCCACTAAGCTTTTCAAAACCCCGCAGGCGTCTCGCGTCTCTCCTCTAGCACCCTTTGCTTCAGTACATTTCAAACCATGTTCTTGTGACTCGGATCCTCGGCCCCAGGAGATTAGGTCCAGAAATAACTAACCGCTCCCCACACAGGGGACGTGGAAGGAGATCAATAACTAACATCCGGAGGTCGGAAAAACCTACACCTTCTACTCCAGCTTTGGACAACCTGTACACTGCCTCATTCCTTACTCCGTAGATCTTACTCACACAGCGTGGAGAAAATTCACAACCAAGTCACTGGAAGTGCCTGAGGCACCCCTGAGAAAGACCTACCCAAAATCTCAAGGCTTTCTTTGTTTTCCAGGTCCCCTGCCCCAGAGGCGGGGCGGAGTTGAGGGCGGAGGGGACTGCTGTCTTGCACTGCTGTCTTGCACTGTCCTCTGCAGTCCCAGAGGAAGGGTCCACAGACTGCGAGGTGACGCTAAGATGAGGGCTCTACCTGCTTGACCTGGGCTGGGGCAGGGGACCCTTTGCTCTTCCTCCGTCCAGAGTGCGCAGTAGCCGGAAACAAGCAAGCCCTCGGCCCCCGCGCGTGAACCTGCTTCAGGAAACAATAGCTCGGGGGCGGCGGGACTCGCGCAGCCCCTACTTAGCCGCCCCACCCCGCCCGGCCGCTAGGAGGCGCTGCGCGC